AAGACACAAGGAAAGCATTAGCTCAAGAGACAGAAAGGGCCATATAAACCAGAGACTTCATCAGCCTGAGACCAGAAGAACTAGATGGTGCCTGGCTACTACCAATGACTGCCCTGACAGGGAACACAACAGAGAGTCCCAGATGGAGCAGAAGAAAGGTGGGGTGCAGAACTCAAATTCTAGTAAGAAGATAAGACTTAATGGTCTAAGACTGGAGGAACCCTGGAAAGCATGGCCTCTGGATTCTCTATCAGCCCAAAACTAAAACAATTTCCAAGGCCAACTCTTCAGACAGGGACTGGATTGCACTGTGGGACATAAAATGATACTCATGAGGAGTATGCCTCTTAGCTCAAGTAGATACAAGAGACTAAATGGGCAGCTTCTGTCCGGAGGTGAGATGGGAAGGCAGAGAGGGTTAGGACCTGGTTGAATGGACATGGGGAATCAGGGGTGGAAAGAAGTGTGCTGTCACAGGATGGGAAGAGCAATTAGAGTCACATAACAATGTATGTATACATTTTCACATGGGAAAAAATAAAACAATTTAAAAAAATTAATAAAAAAAAATCCACAATGAAAAAAATATCAAAAATTTTAAATAAAGTCAGCATTTGTCTAGGCAGGTATATAGGTGTGAAGAAACATATTACTTCCAAAAACTTGCCTTGGACTTCAGTGAAGATAAAGTAACTCTCTGTGTCCACAGGGCCTTCACACACCATTCTGACTTCTGGGTTCCGAATTCCCAGATGTCTATCCCACAGGTCCCAATAGGAAAGGCCTGTCTTTGAACCCCTAGAATTGTATTTCTGATGTTTCATCCTGAGATACCTACCTAGTTGCTATGTATACTCCTGCCAATCAGACTAGTCAAACCAGGTGATGCGGGTTTACAGGCAGGATGGGTCAAACCAGTCAGGAGGGAGGATGGGTCAGGGGAAAGGCATGTCTGTTTCCAAAGAAAACAAAGAGGTGTGGAAAAGCTCACAGTTCTGGTAACCAGTAGGGCCTTAAGGCGCCTCTCTCTAGCTGCAATCTTGAGTTAAAGGCCAAAGCAGGCTCCCTGCAAGGGATGCAGGGAACCACAGACAGTAAGAATCAGGACAGACCTGTCCTCCAGGCACACACACACAGGCTTCTCAGGGACACCTAGCCCCAAAGCCAGGAGCAAGCCCAGCCCGAGACTCCCCGAGCAGCCTAGGGAAAGCCAGGGTGCTTCCAGGCACTTCCAGGGCCCAAGACAGGAAGTGGATCAAGAAAAGGGTGGGGCCTGAGTGTCAATATCTCACCTGGACAGCTGGAAAATAGTCAACAGTCTGAAAGGTGTGGAAGTCAATGAGGCTCACCTGGCCACCACAGCCAATCAGAAGACCAGGGCTGGGTGAGGCAAATTAGAGCACCTGTGCTCTGTTAATCAGGCCTAATTCACCAGGATTCTAGTTTACGACTCATGCCTTCCAACACCTACACCTGAGGTGGTGAGATTCAAGCAAGGCTGGGAAAAGCCAAGGAGTGAGGGCTCCCCAGAAGCAGCAGTGGGTTTTCCTTTCTTGTGTGGATTTTTATTCATCTGAATTCCTGATCTAGGAAAATGTTGATTTGTTTGAAAGAAGAAACATATTTGGGAATTATGTTCCTAACAATAACCATATTCTGACAAGGTAAGGTCATCCTCAGGCCTGAAGCCAAACCAAGGAGAGGTAGGTGGCCTGTTAATTGCAAATATTTGACTGTTTTTGACCTGCAAACATACACGTACTTACACCCACACACAGTATTTTTTCCCACAAAGGGACGCAATCTAGCAAGGTGTTGCTTATCAGTATTGGCCTTGGGACTCCAAGACTAAAAATTTTAAAGTTAGAAGGGCTTCATGCTTCAGGTAGGAAAGGCAGCAGCATCCCCAGTTCATGGCTGAGCTTCTGAGGTCCAGAGAGGGAAAGAGATGTTTGCAAATTCATACTAGTAAGTGGGCAGCTCAAGTCACAAGCCTCCCGTGGCCACCACCTTTACTTATGATCACAATGGGCGGTAGGCTGGTCTCACCTCTGACCCACTTTCTCAGGTCTACAATCTCTGGCAGAGCCCTCAGCAAAAAGCCTGGCCCTACAGAAACAGTAGCACCTGCTTCTCCCCCCAAATCCTTAGAGAGGCAGAAAGACGGTGTTTCTGACCTGCCTGACTGGGCCCTCACACACCTGACTCAAAGGCACAGGCTTAAACAGGTGAGAGGTTAAGGTTTGATAAGCAGAAAAGGGCCAGCTGAAAGGATATTTCAACCCTGAGGTGCACCATTCACAGCCATTCAGTCTTTAGTATCTGCTGCTCTTTGCTTTGTGAAAAATGAGCTTGAAAAGTTGGGAAGCCCAGAGAAGTGTCTTCCTACTCAACATGGGGGGCAGGGGGGTGCTCCAATGTGAGGGCTGTGGAGGCAAAAGAGTTTTAACAAAACGTCAGGCCTAGACTCCCTAGGGCTGTCTTGCTGTATCTCTGAGCAGTAGTGGCCTGAGGAAAATGGGGCCTTATGAGGAAGCCCGTACCATGGCACATGTCCCATGGGCGAGGGGAACCCCTCCCCAAAAATTCTTCTAGGAATTAGCCTGATTCCAGGCTCTAAATAAATCAGACTTTGGGAAATCAGAGAGACCAAACTGTCATCCTGATGTTGCCACCAACCTCCCCATCTCCCATTTCCTCCTCTGTAAGACACAAATGAGGCATTGGTGGTTTAGTGGTAAAATTCTTGCCTCCCGTGCAGGTGACCCGGACTTGATTCCGAGCCAATGCACCTCATGTGCAGCCATGACCCATCTGTCAGTGGAGGCTTGCATGTTGCTATGATGCTGAACAGGTTTTAGCAGAGCTTCCAGACTAAGACAGACTAGAAGAAAGGCCTAATGCTCTACTTCCGAAAAATCGGCCAGTGAAAACCCTATGGATCACAATGGTCTGATCTACAGCCTATCATGGAGATGGCAGAGGACTGGCAGTGATTCATCCCATTGTCACTGGGTTGCCATGAGGGGAGGGGGGTGGGGCTGACTCGATGGCAGCTAACAACAAGAAGACACAAATAGTGAGGACGATCAGCCTGACAAGTGGAGGAATTAGGAAAGGACGCTTGTAAACACCAGGTGCTACATATATGCAATAGAAGAGCTCGTCTCTGACCGTGGTTCCCATTAGTTATACTAAGCAAACTCCAAATCACTCCTCTTTCAGAAGCCAAAGGAAAAAACAAAAGGCAAGTACCCTAGAGGTGGTGAGAGCCACATTTTGTCAACTTCAGCAATTCCTCCTGTAAAGGTGGAGGAAACTTCCTCTAGGAGCTGGCAAGGAGCCACAGTGCTTCACTGACCTTCTCTGATACAGGCTCCCATTGCCCTCGTGAGGGAAGCATGTGACGATTGGTTTTTCAGGAAGGAAATCTGAGATGGGCTAAGAGATCAGCCCAAGGTCACCCAGCAAAAGGGGAATAGGACCAGCTTGTTCAGGTCTCAGAGCCTGGTGCCAGACTTAGCAATCAGTCCAAATATCTTTCTAATTTCTTTTCACTTGAATTTTCATCTTGTAGCATCGACTTCTCTACAGGCAAGTAGACCAAATGTAGAAGGAAAATTATGCAATTTTGTCAAGGTCAGGAGAAAAGGTTAGAACTATCCCAAGTTGTCCAACTCTAAGATATTACTGTTGTTCTTATTATTATTATTACTACTATTGTTATGACCAGACCTTGGGGATGCCAAAGAATACCAAGATAAGAGCATCCTCCGAAGCCTCTTAGAAATAACATAGATAACATGGACATCTACTCAGCCCCTTTGCAGGGCCTGGATCCCCAAGGGAGTAAACAGAGAATAGTTCTGTTTGGAATCAGTGGTAGGAGCTGAAGGATCCCAGGAAAAGGGGCAGAGAGCAATATCTGTTTCCTATCACTATCTTCTACATAGTAAGTACATTGCTGACAGCAGAACAAAAACATCACTCGGGAAAGAAAAGAAAGGGAGAAGGGGAAGGCAAGCTACCATCATACTTCATCCACAGCTTCAAGGCCAGCTCCTGACCACAACCATAGGGCAAGGAAACTGAGTGGACAGAAAGCAACTCAAATCTGCTACTGTATTATTAGATCCTTAACCCATCTCCAGCCTTGCTCCTCAAAGACAGTGCTGCAGGCAGGGGGCTGTCAGCGACTGAAGATTTAGCAGGAACTGAGAGATGGTACCTCCTCCATCTTCATGAAAGCTCACAGCATTATCTTTGGAATAGCCCTGCTTCTGCAATTTCCCTTCCCAAAGAGATTTTACTCATCCTTTGGGTTCAACCTCTCACTCAATTGCAGGTGACCATCATCCAGTTTACACCAAGGACTTCCAAGAAAGATGGCTGAAGCCTAACAAAATGACAAAGGAAAAATCTCTGCTTGATACCACAGAATATTGTCCAGAGTCAGCATGGTTTGGAGGCTGTACCCCACCAGAGATCCATTTAGTGTGGCCAACAGTTTATAGATGTGTTAGTGGTTTAGGGATTGGGGTTACAGAGGACCCAGGGGAAGGGCAGAGAATGGACCATGTGTGCTCTTCTCTTCATCAAGACCAATTGCTAGAAGAGGATATCATGTTTGGTAAAGTAGCAGGCCAACAAAAACAAAGGAAAACCTCAATGAGATGGACAGACAAAAAGTCACAACAATGGACTCAAACATACCAATCATCATGAAGATGGTGCAGGACTGGGAATGTTTTGTTCTGTTATACATAAGGTCGCCATGAGTTGGAGTCAACTCAGCAGCAACTAACAAGTCCATCAAGAAGGAAGAAGTGTCACTGGTTGGCTAGAACTGCTGACAGGATTCACTTTCTTTTCCACCCTAGTTTAGGAGTAGGGGCGTGGGGCAAAAATAATCTCTTACTTATTGGCTTAGCTGAACAAAGAGAAGGTGAGAAATGAAATGCAATAACAAAACCTGGGGCAACAGAACCAATAGTGCCTCCCCACCCAAGACTTGGTGAGGCCCTTGAACCAAAGTGCTAGTGGACTCATCAAGCAAGAAACAATTTTAAAACCAGGCCAACCCTTTTGTTTATCCCCAGGGCAAGACTTATATCACAGTTATAGAGAAAAAGCAGCGACCAAATCTACCACCTATACCAGGTGCAGCACTCTCCCTATCCTGGCATCTGGGCAGCAGATGCAAGGAACCGACTTGGCCTCCAACATCTCCAGAGCAATATTCCATAATAAAGAACAGTGGAGCAACATTTAGAGTCTTGAGGGAAGAGGAGAATGACCTAAGAACCAGCTGTGGTTTCTGGATAAAGACAAATGTCCACAAATAACACAGGAGGCCTCAGAGTAAGTGGAATAGGTGACAATACACATGAGAACGCTTCAGAAGAAGCTCCACATTCACATTAGGGAAAAAAATTCCAGAAAATCCAGGGTTGGCCTCTGTTGTCCTTCTTATCCTGTCCAGAGCCCAACATAAGGGGCTGCCTGTATATACAGACAAGAGGAGGCCTTGGTCAATTTTCAGCGCTTGGGACTTGAAGTCTATTGTACATGAATGGGTCACTAAGCACCTTACAAACATCGTCCCTTTACCACATCCATTTAAGAAAGCTATTACTAATGGCCCTATTCTACTTCACAAAATGGATGACTCAGCTGAGAAGGAAACTCCAAAATTCCAACTCCGTGTCTAGGGCCCACCCCCACCTGCTATTCTGGTGCTGCACAGTGATATGCTATCAACCAAACACGTAACCTAAAGTCAACTAATTTCAGGAATCAAAGCAAAGACCAAAGGAAGGGAATAACACACAAAGATCAAACAACGGAAGGCACAAACACAGGAACTTTCTCTCTGGCTTCAGAACTGGCACCAGTGAATAAGTCTCCCAAGAAACCACTCCTGGGATGAGCATATGTTTGTATCAGAACCTAGTCTGACCCTGTCCTGACCCCAGGTAGGCAGATGGATACCTTCAACAGGTGTTGGTTTCTACCCTTCTTTGAGCATTTCTAGAAGGAATGAGGACAGTTACCTACTTCACTGCAACTTGACTGTACTTTCTTAACTCTTCCTCTACCCCCAATTCTCACTGAGGCAGCTCCCCATACCACCTGTAGGCTCAGATAAGTAGGTGGGGCATGTGGAAGTGCAAGCAGTAGTGCCAGGTCCATCCACTCCTATGCCCCCACACTGGGGCACCTTGCCTTCAGTCCTCCAGCAGACAGGAAAGGACTTAGGATACAGAAAAGCTCATATCTCAACACCAAACGAGATTTCAATCATGGTGTTGGGGGATACTGGAAGAGGATCAATATCAATCACAGAACATCCAATACTGGTGGTTTGGGAAGCTTGAACTCAGGGCAAACAAAGGGATCGCAGGACAGGCTCTGGGCACACCCAGCTGGCTGAGGAGAGGGAGCAGCAGACTGATTTGGCTGAGTGACTCTGCAGGGTCACCCAAAAGGCAAGGAAGACTGGAGGATGGGGGACATGCACACACCCCTCCCTCCCCTACACAGCCAGAGCTGATGACCAAAGCCCCTCCAGTGGACATGGGTAGAAAGGCCCTGCAGTGCAGGAGACTCTCTGAAGTGGCCCTGTTTCCATCCCTTCTATCTTCAAAGTGCATTATCAGTGCAAGAAGTAGGGCTGGATCTCAGGGGGTCCAACTCTGAGAAAGGGCTGTGCCAGCCAGCTCTCCCTACATCCTCCTGCTTCCCCCTTGCCCACCCCAACCCTTTCATGCTATGACCAGAATTCTTGCTGGATCTCATAAGGGGCGGGCCTGTGTGTGTTCAGTTCGGCTCTGCACAGCGGCACAGTGCTGTCCTGACTCTGCCCCTCGGCGTCCAGGTCCAGAAGCGTCCGCTCAACAGGGGGTAGTGACCCCGCCTGGAATGGAAGCAGGGCTGGGAGTTCAGGCCGCTCCTCCACAGTGCTACTACTGCTAGCAAAGCAGGAATCCACGTTGCTGGGCGTCTCCGTGCTGGAGCTGTTGGCTGGGGAGGCGCTGCGGGCATGGCTGGGGGACACAAACCACCAAGGGTCCAGCCGTTGCCGGTTGGCAGAAGGACGTGGCCGAGGCAGAAACTCCAGGGTCTTGGGTCTCTCCAAGGTAGAGTCTTGTTGTGTGTTCCAGCGCCTTGGGGTTGGGGGAAAGACCACATTGGGGTCAGGGAGACGGGGGACTTCACCTGGGTCTCGGCTAGGACTGGGGGTTTTCAGCATTCCTCCTGGTCAAGAGACAAAAAGAGACGCATCAGATGATGGTACAGGATTTCTGAACCAGATGTACACTGCTCCCACACTACCCTGCCATACCCCTATTAAACTGGTCAACAAATATTTATTGAGCACCTACTGCATGCCATGCAGTGTGTTGGGAGGAACTGGGGATACAAGAGTGAACTAGAAGGCTATAGTCCCTGCATCTGGTAATAAGATGGGACATCCAGAGTCACATCTCTAATGAAATAACTTGAGGCAGATGTCAGCAAACTACTAGCCGTAGTATGGCCGGCCACCTGTTTTATAAATAAAGTTTTATTGGAAGACACTCACACCCATTCATTTACATATTATCCACCTTAGCACTACAATAGCAGAGCTGAATAGCTGCAACAGGGACTGTATGATCCATAAAGCCTAAAATATTAACTATCTGGCCGTTTACAAGAAAAGCTTGGCAACCCCTGACTTCAGGGCATGTCCGTTCATTCACTGTTTATCCATTTAATAAACATGTGACAGAGTTAGGTATCAGAGGCCTCAAATGAATAATAGGGAGTGTCTGTTCCCAAACAGTTCGTATATCTGAATATAACAAAAAATCTCAAATGGGGAGGGGGAAGCCAAATGGTAAAATACAATTGCCACTCAGACTCAAATCTCACTGAAAGGGTTACTGCCATCCCTCCTTCTCCTAGGGGGATCAGGAGAGCTTCCAAGTCAGATTTAGTTCTTACAGACAGCAAGGATTGTGGGGAGAAAACTCTAGGATGAGGGCGTATATATCCAGGATGTCCAGAAGTATTGGGTGTCAGGTGGAGAAGTATATGTACATGTGTAGGAATTTATGTGGACACATATCCTGGTTTGAAGAGTCAGGTGTGAGTAAGAGGGTAAGTGTTGAAGAGTGTGATGAATGGGTGGAAGCCTGCCTTACGAGTGTGTCTGTACTAATGCTATAATGAGAGGCAAGAGCCCAGCTATGTGGCAGAAAATACCCCTCCCGTGTGCAGTACATAATTCCTTCCTGGTAACTTCAGTATCCTCTTTAGTGAATAACCAGAAGCTGGACTCCTGCCCTTCCTGTACCCTGAAGGCATTGCACTGCCCTAAGACACAGGGCCTGAACATCCCACAGGATTCCTGGTTTTGATTCTTCCTAGAACCTGTCTAACTTCTTCACACAACACAGGGAAGACCTCCAAGACACAGGACAGAAAGAAGTCAATCACCTCTGGCTACCCCTCCCACCCCAGATCAATCAACCAAATGCTTGATTGACTGAGTCCGAAGGAGGAATAGAGTTCACTCAAATCCAGAGGTGGAAAGAGGAAATGAGGTACCTGCAAGCATCTCCACTCCCCCGGAAGGCGCCAAGGAAGGAAAGAGGAAGACGACAGGACTCACCTGCTCCAGGACTGGGGCTCAACCCATTGCTGGAGGGGCTTCTGCTGGCTACAAGAGCCACTGGCTTAAGGGCCCCGTCAGAAGGAGTCCGTCGGTGACTATTTGGCTGTGTGGGGGCCGTAAGGGTGACGTGGGTGGGAGTCAAGGATTGGTTGGGGTCTCGCTTGAATCGCTCCACTCGGACATTGACCAGGGGATTGTGGGTGCAGGGGGTCAGAGGTGGGGCCTCAACCGGGCTGATAGGCATCTCGTACACCACGATCTCATCGCTGTCAGAGCGCAGCAGGGAGCGAGTGGAGTTGCACTCAGAGATGGAGGAGAGAGAGAGCAGCGTTAGGGAGGCAGAGGGGTCACCTAGCAACAGCATGGGTTCCTCCTTCTTGAAGAGCTTTCGGGAGGGGGGGCTGGTGCTCCGACGAGGACGGTTGGCCCTCTGAAAAAGACCCTCACGCCTCTTCTTCTCCTCCCGGGCTGGTGGCTCAGGCTCTTCCGGGGGAAGCAGCTGGCACTTGCCAGCTTCCAGCAGATCAAACCCTAGGCCTGTGGCTGCAAGAACAGCCCCACAGCCAAGAAGAGCCACCTCACAGCGGCGGTGGTGGGTACCACCCCGCTTGAGGCTATTGGTTGGCGTCAGCTGAGGGGTACTGGTGGCTGAGTTGACTGGGGTGGGCTCCTCATGGACTCCATCACTGCAGGGGCCATCCCCATCCTCTCCACGAGGGAATGGGATACAGAGGTAGGACTGGTTGGGTGAATGCTGTAGACGACTCTCCCCACTCCTTGGGCCTTCGCTGTCCTCATCCTCTGTGAAGATGAAAGGAATGGAGGGGAAATAGAAAATGGGAATAAAGCAACAAGAATAAGATTCTGCTCCTTTCTCCCAACCCCACCCCTCCTTGTTTAGTGTTAGGGATACAAAGACCAAACAGTCTGATGGATAGGTAGGATAAGGAACTGGGCATCAAACCTATAGGGCTTCATCCCCTACACTCAACTCTGACCAACATGGGGAAATCACTCCCCATTCCAGGGCCTGTTTCTCTATTTGCAGAACAGGGGATTGCTAACTTGCTACTTCATTCCATAAAGACCCTCTACTGAAGATGGAAAAGAGGCCTAAAGAGTTGGGAGGCTTCCCAAACACAAAGAAGGTAGGAGAGGCCTGTACCACATCTCTAAGTAAAAGACTAGGTGTTCTGGAAAGGGATTGGGCACCATGTAGTGTGGACCATTCTGGAGAAGCATTAGGAGCATTGGTGCACTTCTTTGGTTCTCTCCTGGAGAGAGAGAGAGGGCCTCAGAATCCATAAGACCAAATGCAGTATCAGTTTCCCAGAATACTGGATGGAACAGAAACACTCCTATTTTTTTGCACCTTAAAATTGGAAGGCCCTTGGATTTCTAGAATAATGGCCTAGACTTGTTTAAGACCAATCTCTTGTAAAAGATTAGAATCCCCTACATGGGTGAAGGCCATTCTACTCTACGGACTGAGCTATTAGGATCTTGGAAACTTATAAAGAGTACGGGAAAGGCCTGGAGAAGATCTTGCCCATGCAGGAATCACAGGACAACACTGGAAAAGCTTCCTTGGAGGAAGGTTGCAGTGCCTTCTACTACCATCCTCTGCTTTACTGACTGCCTGCGTTAAAATACAAGGAAAGGGACCCAGAAAGGGGAAATGCCTGATTGACGGCCTCACCCCCCTGCACTGCTCTAAGGAGACTGTAACTGTCCTCTTGGGATTGAGGCCAAGGGGAGGCTCCAGGCAGCAGTAAGAAGAACTGTGATTTGGGAAGACTCAGTGAAATGGAAGCAGGGTAAACTCAGAAGGGATTGGACTGGGGGGAGGGGGGGTGGGGCAGGTTCGATGAGTGAAAGGAGATAACCACCATGAAATAGCACGAGGGTTTTTAAACAGCCCTGGAAGCTTGGCCAAGAATTCCTTGAGAGAACAGGGAGAGAATGAAGACAAGGGTGATGCTTACCCATTTCCATAAGGCTGGTGAACCCTGGCAGGGCAGGGCTGCTCCTCGGGCCCTTCCCCAGGTTGGGGGCACTGGATGACCACTGTTTGTATCCATCTACCAAGGACTTGAGGCTGAAAAGGCAGAAATGGGGAAAGTGTTAGAACTGGTCCCTTCCCTTACTCTGTGCTCGGATCCATGGGTCTGTGGAAACGTCTCTCCCCATCTGCTCAATTACACCAAAGCCCAAGAGGCTTGGAGTACAGGCAACAAATCTTGCAGAGCCCACTCGCTCTGTAAACAAAAGGGTACATGCTCTAGGGAAAGAAAAGTGGTGGCATGACATCCAGTCCTTCACATGCTGCTATAGAAAGACCCGGTGGGCAGGCTGGCAAGCAGACAGAAAGAATAAGGACCACCCAGGACCAGCCGAGGTCTTTCCTGAGCTCATCTTAAGGGAAAGACAATCAACCGACAGATGGTGAATACAACGTATTAGTGACATTAGAAATATTGCAGTGCAAATACTTGCAATGCGGCAAGCACTGGGCACCTGTAGAGATGCAGATGGGCCAGGCTACTCTACTCACACAACTTCTCAAGTTCTTCTTCCAAGCGTATGGCATGCGTAGGCAACTTTCAAAGCCATCCACTTTTCAAAAACAAAAAGCAACCAACAAAATTGCCTCTCTAAGCTGCAGCAACCCGGTGCACTTTGGGACAGACCTGTGTGAGCTGTATGTAATGTTGTATTCGACCCCTCCACTTTGTCTTGGGGTGGAGAGGAAGGGGACAGGACTTTGCTTTCAAAACCCTGTAATCAACTCATAACTGGCAAGCCAGCAACTTCTCTGAGGATACAGACTGGGTGCCCTACGTGCTCACACAGGGAATCAGGGGGAATCAGACGCCCAGAAGCACTAGTCTTTTCCCTAGAGGATAATATAAGGAAGGATTGGTAATCTCTGGACAACGGCTGCCTTGGAGACACCAGGATTACAACCAGAAGTGGCTCTTTTTTTTTTTTTTTTAGGGCTAGAAAGTACCATTCAGCTAAAGCCTGCTCTTCCTGGAGTCCCAGCCCATCTTTACTGGGAGAGAGGAGGACCAATTTTTTCCCCAACTTCAGAACTCTGTTTCAAGTACTATCAGAAATATCCATAAAATAAAGTATATTCCTACACCACTGGTTCCAACCAAAATCCAGAGCCAGAGATAAGAATATTGCTAAACCCATAGCCTGAGATTTCTAACTGAAAAGCTTGTAACATCACCTCCAGCTCTGGATTCCAGGAAATCCAGATTAGCAAAGTTAAAACCAGTGCTAAAAATCAAAGGGAAAATAGCCATGTACCATTTCCCTAAAACTAAGGGTGCCAGGGGTATCCCAACAAGGGCTTGGCCAGAGAAGAATAAGAAAAAGTGAGATCAACACAGGAATTTTCCCATGGTGCACAATGGTACTGCTTAAAAAAAAAAGAACAAAAAAGAAGTCAGCACAGCCCTGGCAGTGAGGCTTGATTCTAGGGGAGATGCTGTGAGAACAAGGAAATGGCAGGGGAACTATTAGCAGCAGCACAGGTAATGAAAGGGTGAAGGTCACTCACCCCAAGTGGAAATGTGGAGATTCTGATGGGGTACTTAAACCATTAGCTTTCTCACGTCTCTGAGGGGATCTTCAATGAATAAAGAGAATCAGCAGTAGGCAACAGGGGAAACATCCAGCTCAGCCTCTCCCACACCAAAACCCTCAAGGCTGGACTCTAGCTGCGCTGCCAGCCACCCTCCCCTTATCTGGTCAGCAAAGCCCACACCATACAAGGATCTAACAAGATGGCCCTGCTGGAGCTGTTACAGGCCGAGGACCTCCTGACCTGTGGGACAAAGGTCCCTGGGCAGCCACAGCATACAAGGGGCCTGTAACTTCATACATACCCGAGCTCTGTACAGAGAGTACATATGTTTCCAACAGATAGGTACTATTTTTTTAAAGGATGAAGATGCTATCAAGATTCACAAAACACAAATTCACTTAACATTACTGAATTTCAGATAGCTTTTTTTCATTACATACTTTCTTCAGGCAACAGGTACTAAAAACAGAAATATTGCCATATACCAACCAAACCAAACCCATCACCGTCGAGTCGATTCCGACTCATATAGAGTTCTTAAAAATTTCTGACCTCAAAGAGGTCTTTCTTCGAGATTTTATTTCTTCAGTAGGAATTCGAGAATCACAAAAAATTAAGTCATATACTTTGATTTGCTTCAAAAGTTTGTGACGGTGAATTTATGTAGACAGGAAGAAAATCCCAAAGTTAATTATTTTGTAGCAAAACAAAGTTACTCAATTTATTACCAAAACAAACAAAAAAAAACCTTTAAATGAAGCAGAGCCACAGAACCTATTGCAATCCATAGCCAGCCTGGTAAATCCTATCTGGAATCATACTAATGCCAGAAATATCAAGGGATTCTGGGTGACTGAGTTTCTCAGACCTGGCTCAACCCCCTCCAGCCCAAGGTTCAAAGGACAGATTGGGGAGCTCTTGCTCCTAAAGAACTTAATATAGCAGAGCAATTTGCCAGCTCCCAAGGGTTCAATCACTGAGTTCTCACATTTGTTAGGTAGTTCGCCTTATATATCTAAATATGCCATGCAAAAGTATTCAGTAGTTTCTGAAGCCTGGCTTCAAACAGTCAGTCCTTTAAGAACCCAATTGTTATCTTCACCTTCAGCTCCGATCTGATATGGGAAAATAGACTTGGACATGAAATCTTAGTATTTGAAGGATTACCTACACCAGTCACAGGTTTGGGGCACCTGTAAGCAGGGATCTAAAGCCTGAAAGTCAACCTTGGAAGCTCTTTGGATAATCACACAAAAGGCAGAGGTAGGGCAACTGCTTATCCTTACACTTAGAAAAGTCAAGAAACACTGTCCTAGACTCTTAAACCGAGAACGAGAAGTATAAACCATTAGGTCAATTCTTTCAAGTATGAAAGAGAATTGCTGAGAAGCAGAGGATAATCATCATAGCTATTATTCACAATGCTTACGATGCGCTGGCCAATCTTCTAGGCACTTTACGAACATGAACTTATTTACTCCTGACATCAACTCATGAGGTGGGCACTATGACTATTCCCATTTTAGAGATGAGGATACTCAGACGTAAAATCACACAGCTAGGAATGGTGGAGTCAGGATTCACACTCTGGCAGTCTGGTGTTGGCATCCAAGCTCTTCAATACTACCCGAAGAGTGACTGGCCTGTGAAGAACTGGGACTAGGGAGAATTTAACTCCTAGGCCACAAGACTACAAGCAGGAACACAAGCACATCCAAGGCACCAAGGTGTGTTTTGTGCTTTTCCCAGAGAGGGTGCTCACACATGCCAGTGTGGCTATGGGGTAGGGGCTGAAAGAAGTACTGGTGACCTTGGAGCTACATTCAACTGGAGTCCACAGGGGGTGCAAATGGTTAACACATTCACGTGCTAACTAAAAGGCTGGAAGTTCGAATCTACCCAGAGGCTCCTTGAAAGAAAAACTTAGCAACCTACTTTGAAATGTCAGTCATTGAAAACCTATAGAGCACACTTCTACTCTTACACACATGGGGTCATCATGAGTCAAAATCAACTCAATGGCACCTGGTTACTGGCACTACCAGGGCTGGATTATTCTGCCTGACCCTGCTTTAGGATGAGCCTCCTGTCAAGACAGTCCTGTGATCCCTGCTCTTCTCCTTCCTCTGAACAGGTATTCTAAGAGAAAGAGGAAAGTATGAGTAAAATACTCAGGCAGAACTTTTTACATTTTGTTAAAGCTGGACAACGAATAAGGAAGACCAAAAAAGAATTGATGCCTTTAAATTATGGTGTTGGTGAACAATACCGAAGATACCATGGACTGCCAAAACAACAAACAAATCTGTCTTGGAAGAAGTACAGCCAGAATGCTCCTTAGAAGCAAGGACGGGAGACTACGAGACTATGTCTCACATGTTATCAGGAGGGATCAGTCCTTGGAAAAGGACATCATGCTTGGTAAAGTAGAAGGTTAGTGAAAAAGAGGAAGACCCTCAATGAGGTGGACTGACACAGTGGCTGCAACAATGGGCTCAAGCATAACAACAATTGTGAGGATGGCATAGGACCGGGCAATGTTTTGTTCTGTTGTACACAGGGTGGCTATGAGTTAGAACTGACTCGACGGTACCTAACAACAACAATGCCTGGACAACTCCAGGGGTTGGCAAACTATACCTGCTGGGCCAAATCCTACCCACTACCTGTTTTTGTTTTTTTTTTAATTATTATTATGGTAAATATGTACGTAACAAAACATTTGCCATTTCAACATTCTTCACATGTACAATTTAGTGACATTAATTGTGTTCATTGTAGGGTCGCTATGCGTCAGAGTTGACTCGATGGAATTAGTTTGTTTTTTTTTTTTTTTTTTGGTTTATATTGCCAGTATCCATTTCCAAAGTTTTACTGGAACCCAGCCATGCTCATTCATGTACGTACTGCCCGTGTTCTAAGGCTGCATTTGTGCTACAATAGCAGAGCTGATTAGACACAATCAGAGACTATATGGCCCGCAAAGCCTAAAATACTTACTATTTGGCCCTTTACAGAAAAAACTTGCCCCCTATTCTAGGAGGTTACAGGGAACAAGGAAATTGGAAAACTCTGTTGTAAAGATCAGGAAGCTTGTAATTTCTCAGAAAGCACTGAAACATACAACAGAGGAAAAGATGTTTTCTATCGTATTTTTTAAATGATGCACCCATTTTTAAGTGAGAAAGAACTTCACATCATCTGGCTCTTACCCTTCATCTCCTGAGGCAAGTTCCTTCTGACCAAGTGTACTTGGCCCCCACGTCCGTCCCTTCTTCTTTGGGGCCCTCTTCTCCTCCTCCTCGCCTTCCTCCTTCGGGATGACTGAGCTCCGGCCCCAGGTTTTGCTGTTTTCACCTGGTGTCACTGTGAATAACAAAGGTTGAATGGGAATTGGAGAAAAGACAGACAGAACCTCCCCCAAAACTAGCCTCTACTCCACTAAACACACGCACACATACCTGGAGGTGCAAGGAAGAAGTTAGACCTCATTAAAAACTCTGTGCCCGAGTAGAGCCTTCCAGAAAAGTATGGAGTTCTCAGATACCAATTATTTAGCACTTTCAAAGTATACATGAAAAAATTTCCTAAATTCTTATAAGGCCAAAGTAAAGCTGAAGCTTAGGCCAACCAGACATCAGAGTTCCAAATAGATCTGACTTAAGGAACTTGTTTTGTTGGGTGGGATGGGGCAGCAGGTGGTGGGAAGATAAGGAGCTAGAGGGAGAGAGAAAGGGAAAGAAAGATATGGACATGCAGAACAGGTTTTGGGAAGAATGAATTGGAAAGAAAGAAAATAAGGAGTTCAAGTCTAAGGAGAAGGAAGTTAGGAGTCGGTGGAGAGGGGGAAGGAAGAGCCTAGAGAAATACAATAGATAAGAGTGAAGGAACATTCCTCTCACACTGATACCTTAGAACAAGAATGGAAACCCAAACGCCTCAGGGACCAGGCATGTATCATAAATGAGTGAAGGGAGCCAGTTACCAAAAAACAGGGAGTTGAGGGACTAAGGCAAAATACAGAACATGTGTAGGCCACCATCAATTCCAGCCAACTGTGGCCACGTGGGAAAAGAAACCCACTGATCTGATTTTTTTTTAAAGCCAGAAATCCAGGTTTTGGGGGTGAAATTTCTCTTTTTTTTTTTTTCCAACAATTGGTCTAGATTCAGCCAACATAAAGTATCTGGCAGATTTCCTTAGAAGCTAAACTTTGCAAAAGCCCTTCCCTGGGAAGCATAGACAAAAGAGAAACAATGATGCCCCAAATATGGCAGACAGCATGCAAGGTCCCCAGGCCAGGGTACCAACCTGGGTCTACATCACACACCAGTGTCCAAATCACTCTGTAATTTACTAAAGATACTATCAATACCCACAAACTTTTATGCTGGTATCTGACTAAGAGTAAAAGGTACAGGAGCAAGTAGTAAAGTTAATAAAGAGAGACAAGGGGGAGGGCTAAGGATTTGCGTACATATGTGCATGTATATACACATTGTCGAGGAGAGGTGGCAGAAGTTATGGATGGAGCAAGCCTGGACCAGTCGGTGGCTGGACAGAGCAGGGGACAGGTGCCCCTGGTGGGTTCTGGCCCCAGCTAATTTGGGAAACAGTCTCACACTGGATGGCTCGGAGGCGAGGAATGATGGTGGGGCTTGCAGGAGGACTGGAACGGTTGTTGATCAGACTCTTCCTTTTATCCATGGTTGGGGAGGCCTGCACTGTGAACTTGTGCTGGAAATCTGCTTGGGGAAAGACAAACACATGCGTGTGCATTAGAATTTTCCCGTTGGAGACTGACATTGCCTGGCATGCCTGAGGGACAGATCCCAGTTTCCTGAAAAGCTCATTGTTCACATCTGGGAAATGTTCTCTTTTTCCCAAAGGGACATGGCAAGACGAAGGTATGGAAAGATGGAAAATTCATTATTTGAGTGAACTTTATTACCCAGTCTTCGTCAGCTATCTCTATAATGTATGCAGGTGTAGCAATGACATATTTAGAATTGTTTTTAGAACATAAAACTTTGTTGATTATTCTAAAAAAATTTAACTTAAAATTCTCTATTTTATATAATCTATTATGACATGCCCCTTTTCTCAGAGGTCAAAGTAGGGAAAAGATGCTTCTCACTAAGAGTGGGCAGAGTGAGTTATTAAGAACTAGCCCCTGGTGAGAATGTAGGGAAGGGAGGGAGATGGGCAAATGGCCCAAATTCCGATGTATTCCAAAGGTACAAGCATAAAGAACGCAGAACTTAAGGTCAGCTAACCGGGTTTGTGTTCAGCTCTGAAATTTCTGAGTTTCAGTTTCCTTGTCTGTCAAAGATGTATAACAAACAACTGCTTGTTTGCACCTAGGTCTCCTCACAAACGGTTAAGCGCTCACTACTAACCAAAACACACCCAGAGATGCCTCGGAAGACAGGCCTTGTAACCTGCCTCTGAAAGGTCACAACCCTAAAAGCCCTATGGAGTAGTTCTACTGTGCAACACATGGGGTTGCCATGAGTCGGAAACAACTCAACGGCAACAACAACTCCTCATTAGACTGTGCTCTCTCTGAGGGTGGGAACTATAGCTTTTATTTCTCTATCCCAGTACCCAGCAGTATGCTGGGCGCACGCCTGATGCTCAAGAGGTGCTTAACAAATCCAGGTAGTCTGAAAAGAAAAAATAGGCAACAAGGAAACCAGTAAACACGAACACATTCATTGAATTTCACTGAAATTAATTCCCTTGCCTGTACTTAAGCCACCATCCTAGTGTTTAAAATCACCCACTGCTACAGAGTTGCTACAAGTTGGAATCAACTCCATGGCGACGGGTTTGGTTTTTACTGTTCGTATTATGCTATTTCCTCTTGGTTCCTTATACTTCTGATAAGCTTGCTTCCTGTGGCCTTAAAGAATTAGAACACATCTGAATCCTTTTATCTACATAAGCACACACTTGAGCACTCACCTACTTCAATGGGTACACTATACATACAATGATTCTAATCTACGGTTTCTCTATTTCTCTCTTGGCATTTTCCCAAGGCTGTATATATGATAAATGCAACTTCTGTCAGCCAGTGTGTTTCTAAAAGGTTAGGTGTAAATCAAATTCTTACAAATTTAACCTAATCTCAACTGTACTCAGAGAACTGATTATTTAAAGAAACCATGAGATGGGTTGTTTCACAGAGCTAAGATTTTTCTTGTCTCATGCGTACACACACTTACTCTGGGAAAAAAAAAATTTTTTTTCCAGTTACATGTTTCCTCTCCAAGTTTCCTAAGGTGTGAGATGTCACCATGTGAGGGAGCTTGCTTCGAGCAGCCTGGACCCTGCTTGCCTGCCCTGTCTTCATTTCATACTCTGTGTTCAGTCATACTCAATAATGCCCTAGAGTGGGGCACTTTTAGCAGACCAGTGTCTTTCCACTGAATGGAATGGCCCATTTCAAACCAGCTGCATCACTGAGGTTTCCAAGCTTAGTTCCAAGCTCCCACATACCCCCTGCCTCTGCTCCCTGACCAGGCTCTCTGTTTTCATTTCCCAGCAGGGCAAGGCCACTCACCGGAAGGGAGGCTGATGCGGTTGCCGTCCTTGAGCTTCAGTCGGCTCTTCCTGAACTTGCCCTTGCGTTTCTTCACCCGGGGCTTCTCCTGGCACAGCTGGTGGATGATGATGTTGAGCTCCCGTTCCAGAATGTCAATCTCCCGCTCGGCCAGTTCCTGCTCCCGGCGCCGCAACAGCTCCTCCTGGTTCTTCTGCTGCAACGCTGCCCGTGTCAGCTCCTCCTCCCAGGTGCGGAGCTCCTGTGGACAAGATGGGCGCCATCAGAGAGAAGAGTGGGGCACTAAGCACAGAGGAGTCTTGGGGGTAAGGCCTGAGAGCCCCAACAGTAAGTGCTCATGGCAACCTGGAGAGCTGGCTAGGCCCCACAGAGCATCTGTGCTGCTACCCCCATACTTCAAGTTCCCGGCAGAGACAGCAAGCCCAGTACCTAGTTAACGGTAAGTGAATACCTGACCACCCTGTATGATGGAGAAAGGAAGGCTCAGAACAGCCATACTGAGCATACAGCCAGAGAAGCTAAAACCACAGGCCCTACAGAGGGCAACTGGGAGTTCCCAGTCACTTCTTGAATCTTGTTTAAAACTGCCGGTGACTGGGAAATAAAATCATGTTTTTAAATTTTACAGACCTGGTTCTATTGTAATTTTTCACATTATATGAAGTATTTTTTTTTTTTTAAACCAGAGTCAACTGGTACAAAGTAGGTACTCAATGGTTGTTGAATAACTTGTTGAATCAATAAATAAATGAATGAGAAATGAGAAGAAGCAGACATAAGACAATATTATCAACACAAAACTTCTTTATGGGAACATAGATTCATCACAAGTTCTGGAAAGTCGAGCTTAACTTTTCAGTTTCTCCTTCTTTGAAGAAATAAGCCCCAAGAAGATTGTTATGTGCTTTCCAAATCCTTCGCTTCCCTATCTCACTATTTTGCTTTCACCATCAGCAGGGAAAAAAAAAAAAAACTTGGAAGATGCATAAAAATTATTCCTGATTGGTTGATTTTACAGTTAAATAGAAAAGTTGAAAATTTCAAGCTTCCTAAGTCCTCCTCTTCCATATGCTCACATCTAAGGAATTGTGGGTCTAAACCCCCTCCTTCAAGGGAACTTGAACCAAAGCCCAGACACCGATCCACCCTCACAATACCTAGAAGCAAGTAGGTTGAGCCAGCCTGAAGAAATAGCTGAATCATATGCTAAACCGGGATACTTCTGAAGTACTTGCCTATGGCATCATATACCTAGAGGACCCTCAAACATGGTAAGCCCCCTATACTTGTAGAATACCTATGTGGGGGTCAACTATATAGTATGCAAATCACATCTCCTATACACAGAATGATTCAAGAGGAACTTGTATGTAGAGAAAATTCATTATATATCTTACCCTTTGCCCAACAACAAGCCTTGTTATAATGGAGAGGTATCATAGCATGGTGGTTAAGGGCAAGGGTTTTGGTACAAACTGCCTGAATTCAGGTCTCAGTTTTGCCATCATTAACTGTGTAGCCTTGTGCATTATATATAACACGGACCAACATTATAGGGTCATATTACATAAGACAATTATTATCTTATGAGACTACATGGGACAATTCATACGAATTACCTAGAACATGTCACATACTACATGCTCTATAAATATTACCTATTAGAGCTCAGCTGCTAACCAAAAGTTGGCAGTTCGAATCCACCAGCTGCTCCTTGGAAACTCTGTGGGGCAGTTCTCCTCTGTCCTATAGGGTTGCTGTGAGTCGGAACTGATTCGACAGCAGTGGGTTTTGGTTTTGGATTAAGAGAATGAGTTTGATTTTTGCTAGTAACTACTTATTGACAAAATCCAACTTGCCTTTTTCTTACTGGCTGGTATCCCTATAATTTCTTCAATCAAAAGAAAGGTAAGCAAGAGTCAGTGATTAAGCAATCTAAGAAAAGACCAGCAACTATGAGGGTTCTTCTGAATCATTCTGGTCAATGGTCAGTGCAGGTCCACCCACCCACCCATTCATTATAAGCTCAACTCTGTGATCTGCCGAACAGAACTGTGTTTAGGATTGGCTGTTGCATAAGAAGAATTTAAATTCTCCAAATCAGCTACAGAAATGATAAGTCATTTGGTTAGGGGAACAACAATGTCTATTGGAAGAACATAGATTTTAGGATCAGAAGGCCAAGGTAGGAGGCTCTGCTTCCCACTTACTAGCGATGTGACTTTAGACAAGGCACTGACCCTCAGCTCTCAGATGGAAAGGATAATCACACCTGCCCAACATACTGGCAGCAAGGGCCATAATGTGCAGATGAGACCTTTCAAGTGAAATCCATAAACCATATACAATACCAAAAAGCCATATATAATTTTAGCTTCTATTATTACCATATTGCTATTAACTTACCAAATTCCCAGAGTGGGGAGAAGAGAAAGAAGAAGCTAGCCAATCTATAAGGACATCCTCATGCCCCTAGCTGCCCCTGCAGCCCCTACATAACTACTTGTGATTAGCTTCCCCTGTATGGACACTGATGCTAGCTAGACACCAAGGGAGCAGAGAGGGGTCATTTAGGGAATGACCACCAAAACAAAAAGGAAGGTCTCTGGTAGGCCAGGAGTCTCTGAACTCCCGAGTTAGTTTGGTTTGGAGCCCTCTTCATAACAACATGAGAAATGCCAAACAATTTCAGACCTATGGTATTTCCATCCTGTATTCTGTTTCTCATTCTGATATCACAAGACACTGGCAGGATGTCATGGTAACTATTCTCCTCAATGTTGAAGTGGTCCTATATTGAGTTAACTTCCCTCTAGCAGTCCATTGTAGAGCCACGAAACCTTTCTTGAATCTTCCCAAATTTTCAGCTGGCAGGGTGAGACACCCCACTGATAAAAGCCAAATGGTGCTCTTTCTCAGGTTTGGACAATTAGGAGAGCTGGGCTCATGACTCTCCCTTCTTATTCCTGCCATATCCCAAAAAGAAAAAAAAGTCTCTACCATTCCAGGTCACACCTAAGGCCTGGAGAACTCTCTCCACATAAAGCATGGAAGGAAGGAGCTACCCTGTTATATCAAACCATGCAGGAAGGTGGCAGTGTTAGAATCAGGGCAGTCAGGCAGATGTAGTCCAGAGGCCTCAGGGAAGAAAGTCCACTGATTCAATGCATGCTTTTTTTTTTTTTTTTTTACCTTTTCTTTAGCCCTGAGTTGGTCAAACATCTCCTGAATCTCATGTTTCCAGTCATCCTGCAGGCAGTGGAAGGAGTCCTTGGGCATTTCAAAGAAGCCAGACTCCTCTATGGTAGTTAGCTGGTCCAGGATATTTGTGAAAGATGGTCGTGAATGGGGGTCAGGATTCCAGCAGTCTGAATGGAATACGTGAGTAAACAGAAAGCATAAATGGACAGAGGCAAATGTAAGAACTAGGATATTCAGTGATGTCATTTATCAGAAAACTTCTTTTCATTTCTCCTTCTAGAAACAGAGATTGGAATTTACAGAACTCCAAACAGGGCTCAGGAAGTAAAGCAAGGGCCCAACGTCACAATCATAAGTCAAGAGTGAAATGGGAAATAAAATGCAGTAGTCCCAGCACCCATTCAATCCTGACTGTTAATTAAGTATAAGAAAAGCAAACCCAAGAAGTTTTCTTGTGTAAAGAACTACTACTACAATTTATCATATTACTACATGACTCTATGTGATTTCAGTGCTGACAATGGATAACTACGCCCTGGGCCTCTATTTCCCATAAATAAATGAGCTACTCTTCCCCACCTCAATGGGATGATGTGAAGACAAGGATAAAAAGCACTAGAATGGGAGTCAGAAAAAGTGAGTTCTGTCTAATCCCAGCTTGACCACTAACTTCTCTCAGCTTTGGGTTTCTCATTTACAAAATGATGAGGTATGACTAGATAACTTTTTAGAGTTCCTTTCTTCACAGATGTTCTCAATTTCTATACATAAGATATTCAGAGGTCTGATTTAAACACTGCTATAACTTCTTCTTTTTTATTAAATAATAACATACAGAAGTACTGAACAGCAGGCCTTAGCTACAAAGTTAACTTCTACAGCTACTGAGGACTGACAGAAGAAACATCTGTGACATCAAGGTAGCAGTATGTTGACATTATCTTGTAGTCAAGAGTGAAATGGGGAATAAAATGCAGCAGTCCCAACACCTATCCAATTCTGGCTGTTAAGTAAGTATAAGCCCAAAGGCTTCCTCCCTGGATGACTAATACTTTATCTCCTCTTTCAGTAATTGATCCTATAGGAATTGGTCAAAATCTACCAAGTGTTACCCAGTTTTGCTCAGGCCAGGGTCACTTACCTTCCATGAGTTTGGCAAAAGGTTCTGGGCATGTAGAAGGGATGGGAAGGGCGAGTTTGTTCATGGCGACTCCATAAGCTACTGCTAAGCCATCAATTCCTCGGAAGGGCACTTCACCAGTCAGCAGCTCCCAAAGCAGCACCCCATAGCTAAGGAGAAGAAAACAAGCCACGTGATAAACCATAGCTACAACTTCACTGAAATACGAAATAGCTCATGAAGCGTTGCTGAGCACCCCACATTTTCCCTAACACGTAGGGAGACTAATGCAATAGATGTACTGATGTGATATAAAAGGGAGGCAGTGGTGGTTCAGTGGTAGAATTCTCGTCTTCCATGTGGGAGACTTGGGTTCAATTCCCAGCCAATGGACCTCATGGCAGCCACCACCCCTCTGTCAATGGAGGCTTGCGTGTTACTTGACAGGTTTCAGCAGAGCTTCCAAACTAAGATGGACCAGGAAGAAAGTCCTGGCAATCTACTTCTGAAAATCACCCAATCAGCCAATGAAAATTCTATGAATCACAGCGGTTCAATCAGCAACCGATCATAAGGATGGCGCAGGACCACATAGCCAGCCTTTAGTTCCATTGTATATGGGGTCGCCATGATTAAGGGGCCGACTCAACAGCAACTAACAACACCACGTAGCTACTAGCTAAAAGCAGAAACTCTTGAGTCAAGCACACTTGGTTTCAATGCCTTGTTCCATCATTTTCTAGCTGTCTGAACTTGGGCAAGTTACTACATCTCTCCAAGACTCAAATTCCTCGTCTGTAAAGTGTAGACAACACTACCAGTCTCACAAGGCTGTCATGGAATTAAATGAGCTCCTGCAGTACTGGGAACAAGGGAAATGCTCAATGGCTGCAGCTATTTTGTTGTTGTTATTAGTAATGTAAACTGAAAGAAGTGGCTTTCTAAGTATAAAGTTTTTTCTGTTTTAAGAAAACTTCAGCTTTAGTCACAAATACATCTTTGAAGCAGAAAAGCATAGAGTTGACCACCCAGAATGAACAGATTTTGCTCCTGTAAAAGAGTTTTTAAATATCCACTAGGTTGAATAGATCCCTGTATGTAGATCAGTGCTAACGAGCCCTTAACAGAGACCTCTGTCTAATTGAAAGGGGAAGGTTTCACAAGGTGGACAGTATTAGTAGAGGAGAGCAGCGTGGCAGCTGTGACAGCCTCAGTGTTCCCTCCCTATCTTTCAAGTCCACATAAAGAATTTCTTTTCCACATCCTGTCAGTCAGAGAATGGGAAGTACAAAGCATAGTGGAATAATCACTCTACAAATTCATAATCAGAACCAGGCAAAGTCATGTAGCATTCGATCCTTCCAGGAATAAACAAGGACAAGAAACCACAGGTTATGAACAGTCAGAAGAGTGAATCTCCTTGTATTTTGAACTCAAACCCCAAATGTCTTGTAATACTCATGAGTAGTTTCCAACCAGCAACAAAATTCATATTAATTTAAAAATGATAATAAACCCAGCATCTATGTATGATGGTACCTTGTAAAAGGAGGGTGCTAAGGTGCTTTGCAAACATCATCTTTAATGTCTATAATGAACCTGCCAGATAAGTATTATCATCATTTTGCAGATGAGGAAAGCAAGTTTTAGACAGGTTTAGCAGCATATATTAAGGGCAAACACAGAGTGGGTCATGGTGGACCCTAGACCAATTTCAATTCCTTCTCTCTGGAATGCCCTTCCACCATTTCTCTGCTTGGTAAACTCCTAATAGTTGTTCAAGATCCAACTCAAACGTCCCCCATTTACTCATTTGTTCATTTTAAATATCTACTACATATTACTATGTGTCAAGCTGGATGCTAGACACTGGGATACAGGATAAAAACACAGCCTATCAAGGAAGAGATTAGTGAGAGGGATAGAAGAGCAGACAGAATATAGAGAAATGAGTCATGATAGAGATACTAAAAGGACATAAAGGAGGGTCACATAAATCAAATTAGGATGGGGGCACGTAATGATGGCGGCCTTCGAGCCAAACTGCTAAGTGTAAGGAGGAGGGCAGTACCGATCCCCAGAGAGAGGGATCAACAAGAGCCCTCAAAGAACCCCAAGTGGTCTGGCATGGTCCAAAGCAGAGCAGTATGCCAACCAATGTGCCAGGGCACACGGGGGGCTGCAGATGGCCCCTCAGAGTGGCCTGGCCAGTCTTCTTAGATGATGTTTTTGTCCTTTACCTCAGCAAGCTCTCCAAATACTATCATTTTTTCTATGTATCTTGACAGAAAAAGTCTGGTAGACAGTTGCAGGTCTTGCAGGATCTAGGTCTGCCAGACAGGCATTGGATTTTAATCTGAGGCTGATGGGAACGATGTTGGACTTTAGGAAGCCTTCCCCAACATCTCCAGGTGTTAAACTGCCCTTTACTGGGGGCTCCTATGTGTTCTTGTTGTTTGTTTACCAGCCTATGGGCTCCTAAAGGGAAGGGAGAGCAGTTTTTAATCTTTGCATTCCCAGGCCTAGCACTGTCTCTAGTACACAGTAAGCACTCATACAGTGAGTGGGTGAATGCATGGTCAGATGGTCCTGCAGGCTGCACTGGGTGCCACAGAGTAAGCCCTGAACACCATCAAGAATTTCACTGTTACACTTCCTGCCAAACCTTTAATGTGACTTATCCAGACAGTCGTCATACTAGGCAACTTCTGCCAAGTGACCTCCAAGAACACGTGGCACTGCTGACCATATTACTAGGTTAGAGTGACTCTCATCCTCAGATTCCATCTCTTGGCATTAATGCCCTCCTTCACCCCTGGGGAACAAAAATTATAGGTCCCAGGGAACTCCTTTCCTCCATACAGGAAATATGATTGGTATCTGAGCTCTAACTATCTGGAAAGACAGTGAAGTGTTTCAAAGATCCAAACACGTGTTCTGTTTGTGCTCTTGCACTCCTTGAGATGGTTTTCAACCTGTGAGCCTTGGTTGTCCCACGGAGATCGTCTCAGGCCTCCTGGAAAAAGGAGGAGCCAGGGACTGTACCCCTCCCAGCTTCAACCAGGACAGCTCTGCTCTTACCTGGCTTGTTTCTTTGTTCTTCTGCATCCTATTCCATTTGAAGGGCTCTACAGCTAAGAGAGGAACCCCTAGGTGGCAGAAATGGATAAGTGCTCGACTACTACCAAAAGGCTGGCAGTTCGAACCCACCCAGGGGTGCCTTGCAAGACAGGCCGGGCAATCTGCTTCTGAAAGGTTACAGCCGTGAAAGCCCTATGGGGCAGTTCTACTCTGCACACGTGGGGTCACCATGAATTGAAACTGACTCGATGGCAACTAATAACAACACAGCTAAGAGAAATGTGATAACTGCTGCTGAGAGGCAAGAATGCTACCTAAGATAGACTTGAGTCAAATGCTGGCTTTACCACTTACCAGCTGTGTGACCTTAAGAAAGCAAATTTACTTCACTCAGCCTTAGTTGCCTCACCTATAAAACAAGGACAGCAATACCTACCTCACAAAGCAATTGCTAGGAATAAATAATAGTAATAGCTAGTATTCCTCATCCAGAAATGACCACCAATGGCTGACAAGTGGAAAGGGCCTGACATGAGGTGTCTGGTGAGGGTTAGGTAGAGCCTTGCTGAGGGACACCAGCATTTAGGCAAGAGGGATGTCTAACCCAGTCAAAGTTTTCCTCTGACAATGCTCCTCTTTATTTTATAATAGAAGGTGGGGGATATAAATGAAGACTCGGTATTCCTTTGGCAGGAACAGAATCCAAGAAGGAAACTGAGAAAATAAAAGAAAGTTCTGAGCTCCAGGGGTAGGTGGGCAGTAGAAGTCAACATGATTTACCTCAGGTTTAGCCTACTCTGTCGCCCTCCAGGGTTGAAAAGGTCAAGAAGTCCTTGCAACACTAATTACAAGCAACCTGGAAGGGCCAGCTCAACTAAAGCACTGCTTCTAAGTCCCTCCCCTCAACAGAGAACCACTGGCTCCCGGAGAACTTACCTGCAATTTCCCAGGAGTCCTCACTGCCTAAACCCAAACCCTCAGGGAAATCACATTTGTGTCAATAATTAACCACCTCCAGAGGCTCAGTAATCCCTTCAAATATTTGGTAGGGTCAGAAGTAGGGAGGCCATCTATTTTATTGTTTTCAAAGCATTAAAGTGGATAGCAACCCTTCACAGCCAAAGGTATAGCAATTCCACACCTGGGCTGGACCAGAACTATTTTTCTTATTAACCTGTTTCATCTCTAAGACTGTCAACTAGGTGGCCCAGGCTCTGAGAGGAAAGGGCCTCCCTTGAATGGGGTGGGCTTGGTAATCGACTGTGACCCCACATTCCAGAAACCACACTATTTAATAATCTTCGGCAGAGGTAAGTCAACTAATACACGTGAAAGCACTTTGCAAGTTGAAAAGTAACAGAATTATTCCTCTTGATGTTGTTAACCAAACCCTCATTCAAAATGATGACATATTTCTTAACATATATATGTAATATATAGACTAGTATATTTTTTGACATAGTGTACTTATTAACATGGTAATATGGTCATGCTATATTGTGTTCAAAAGTAGTTTACAAAACAGAATGATTCTATTTAAAGGGGTGGATGGATGAGCACATGAACAGGAGTTCACCAAAGTATCCATATAGATTAGAAGTTGTTTTCAGTGATTTTCTTTTCTCTTTTTGTTTACTCATATTTTCTGATTTTTTTCTATACAGAACACGCTTTACTACTGTAATTTAAAAAAGTTAAAATGATTAACAAAATGCCCCCACTGCATCCCACACACAACCAACAGGAAACATCTGAGCAATGACTCTACTCTTTTCAAGGCAGTCCCCCAACCAAGCAAATTGGGAAACTTCTGTAGTTGAGGATGTGAGCCATGATCATCTCAGCCTCCATCACAGCAGGTAGACAAGGCCTGGAGAACCATGCTTAAAGAGCAGAAAGACAAACTCATCTGGCCCTGGGCACCTGGCAGTAGCCAAAGCCCAGAAGCCCCAGGCTGTGGGTGAGTCCCAGGGGAGAAGGGAAGACTCTGACTCAGCCCAGTGCCTGGCACAGTGTAAGCATTCAAGAAACATTTCTTGAATGAATAAATTACAAATCTATTTGAGAAACAGCTTTATCTTGAGTTCCT